TCCCTCACAAAGTTGATCTAGATGGTTGATAGAAGGAAATCCGTTCACCATCTTCTTTTTAGATAACAAGGTTAGTCCTCCAAAATTCAATTGTCCAAATCTCAAGTACCATAACCAAGAAGAATCTTTAACACATGTTTTCAATCATTTTGTCACATCACTTTGAATATTTCACAAAAACATTCTATTTCTTGTTATCGGCACTTTGGCAACCAAATTCCCGTTTTCATCTCTTATTGAAAGATTATAATTTTTCATGCAAATATCATAACCTTTCTCTAAGAGTTGTCCCAAGCTTAAAATATTATTTTTCATGTTTGGAACATAAAAAGTATTAGAAACAACTTGGTGACTTCTATCCTTCAAACGAATCAAAATATTACCTCTTCCCATTACTGAAAAATTGAGAAGAATCGCCAAAAGTGACTTTTCCACTTACTGATTCATCAAGCTCCGCAAACATTTCTTTATTTCCAAACATATGATTACTAGCACCAAAGTCAAGGTACCACACGTTCTTGTCTCCCTTTTGCTCTTCTTTGTATGCCAACAACAAGGTCGACTCTACCTTTTCAATTTTGTCTTCAACAAAGTGTGTTTTTTCTTCCACAAAATCATTTCTACACTCGGAAGCGAAATGGACATATCGATCATAATTATAACATTGAATATGAGATTTGTCATATCTCCCTCCATATGACTTTGAATTGTTGCCTCTTCCACCTCTTCTTCCACGATGTGATTCTTGGCCTCTTTCTTCTTTGTTGGACGCATTTCGACCAAAGTTTTCTCCTCTACCTCTTTGACTTCCATCTTGTCTTCTTTCTTTTTCTATAAAAGAAAACTTGATTTTTAGCATTTGCTCCAACGGCTCTTGTTTCTTCTTGTCTAGCCGTTCTTCATGTGCTAACAACGATACCATGAGTTCGTCAATCGTCATTATGTCTAAATCTTTAGACTCTTCAATGGCCACAACAATGTAGTCAAACTTGGGGTCCAATGAATGGAGGATTTTTTCTATCACCCGGGTATCATCATAGTGATCATCACCATAAGTTCTCAAATTATTCACAACCACCAAGATTCTTGTGAAATAATCTGAAACTAATTCGGATTCCTTCATACGTAAAGCCTCAAATTCACCTTATAGAGTTTGAAGGCGAACTTTCTTGACTTTTTCCACTCCACTATGAGCAGTTTTAAGAACATCTCATGTTTACTTGGATGTGGTTGCACTAGCAACCTTCTGTAACATAGCTTCATCCAAACATTGATGGATGAGTGAAAGAACCTTTTGATCCTTCTTCTCTGTAGCTTGCAAGACTTCCTTTTGGGCTTGACTTAAGGAAGCTTCATCTTGCGGTGAATTGAGGCATTTGAAATGGAAGCATTCTATTTATCGTCTCTCTCTCGCTCTCTCTTTTCAACACTCAAGCCTAACTCTGATACCACTTTGTTGGAATCTAGAGGACTATCATACACTCACAAAAAAATATAATAGGAGGGACTATTGAAGATTGAAAGAACTCTTTGTATGCACTCATATCTAAGAGGATGTATTACATATGATATATATAGACTTTCATGACATACAAAATAACCCCACTACATAATGCAATAATAAAAATAATAAAGNCTTTGTATGCACTCATATCTAAGAGGATGTATTACATATGATATATATAAACTTTCATGACATACAAAATAACCCCACTACATAATGCAATAATAAAAATAATAAAGACTTCACTCCTCCATTACTTGGAGAATTAAAATATCACAATTAATTTATACCCACTAATACCAAATTGATGCCCACTACTACACAAAACTAAATGCATAAAATAACTCCTAAAACATGAAAAGTTATGTTTAATTTTATTTTTCCAACATTTCCTACTTCCGTACGCAGCATACAATTTGTATTCTGTGTTTAGTTAATAGCCACCACTTTAGGACTATCTAGGGCTCCAAATGATGTCTTTCGGCACTGACATATAGCTGACCTACCCCATATTACTGATGTTTCGACATAGATCTATGGTGCTTCGCATCTCGATGATTGGAACCATCAAAAGTTATTCCTGAAGGAGCTCACTAAGGACGACAGGATGATTAATCACATAGTGAACTACATCATTGACCTAAAATCCCATATACTTTAACCTTATTGTCTAGAGAGCCTACTTGTTACAAGATATTGGGATAGGAGTTAGGATAGATTTTCCTGCACTTACGAGCCTAGGATTTCTATCAGCCTTCCATTTGGTTGTCAGATCATGCATATTTGCAAGGACAAGGGTGTCCCATTCTAGGAGGTTGGTGAGAAGAAGGCCCTGATAAAACCTATTGGACTGGGCACGGTGCAACAATGCATACCTCCCACGGGATATATCTTTGACCTTGTACAGGTAGAGGATGAGGGAGATTAGGCAGAGCATGAGGATGCCATCCCTCCTACTGGTCAAGATCTTAATTCTTTTAGACCACCACTGGTTGATGCTCGTGTGAGTACATCGATTGCACCTCATAGTTTAGTTCCATTTCGCTGTTTGCCCAGTTGTCTGTTGTTATGCTCATGCTCACTCGGATGCAAAGACGGATAGATGAGCAACACAACCTCACTTCACAGAGGTTGGACTCTGTCGATGCTCGAGTTTTTAAGCCTTGAGTGTGGATAGGAGAGGACGTTATGAACTATTGGATGAAGATTGGGGCGACTAGGAGGACACAGAAGGGAAAGAAGAAAGTTGGTAACCCTAATTCTAAGGATAGCGAGGAACCTGAGCACTAACCCAAAGACGGTGTCGGAGATAGAACTGGAGATGCTGCTGACTGGAACATCATGGGAGCTTGAATGTTTCTTTTCGAATTGATGTTCTTGGATAAGCAATCACTATATTTTTCTTTGTTTGTGACGCACATTGTACTACTTATTTTGGATTATCTGTATTTGTTCTATGAATATTTTATGTTTGGTTTTTATCTTTTCAGATTAGTCTCTGACCATGATTCCTGATAGCTTATTGCTTAGTGCATATTCTCTTGTTAGCTACCTTCCTTGTTATGCTGCTTGCATTGACTTTGTCGTTGGCACGTCGTGACAAAAAGGGGTGAGACTTTGAGAAAAAATTATGAAAGCTTGAGGGAGATTGTTGAAAGGAGAGTAAAAAAAGGGAGAGCATAGTGTAATTACTCAGGGTAGAAAATTATAACTTTCCATGAAGTCGCATTTTTTTACTTGTTGATTTTTTAATTGTTGATTTGCACTTGTTTGTTTTTCATTTGTTAATTTTTTGTTTGTATAACTCTAAATAAGGTGGCGATACATGTTTGTATACATTGTCGTTTTGCATATTGCTTACATATATATGTCTTGTTGCTTTTAATGCTTTCATTCACCATACTTGTGATGAGCAATGCTATTGGGACCTAATTTACCGATTTAATTTACTGACTTAATTTACTAAAACCTTTAGATTAAATATAGGACTCATCAAACATTGAAACTTGGCGTTGATCCAATGACTCTACCGAAGCCACATCATTATGTCAACAAATTATATCAGATTTTTAGATCCAAATAATATTACTCTACTTGCGATTATATCTTGTCATTGATACATACTATGTTTTTCACAAGTTTTGGTTGAGTTGTGATGTGCAAGACTATAATGCTTCAATGATATGTCAAGATGATAGTTTTTGTCCTTAGTTATGACTTTGAGTGACTTTGTACTTGAGTGCTGAAATTAGGTTTATAATTCTTTTCTTTTTTTTTTTTTTTTGTAATCTTCAAATTTCTTCCTCTTGTATTTTCTTATGCAATTGCCAAAGGGGAGATCGTAAAGCTAAATACCTTGAGTTTTCCTTGGTACTTTTACTTTGGCTACTTAGGTTTAATAAATTGCTTTAGGTTTGTTTCGTGCATAACTCTTAACCTTTTTAATGAAATCCTTTTTGAAACATCAAATGTTATTTTGAAGACATAAAATAAGTAATAGATGGACCATGTTGAGTAACATCCCTTGGTGCTCAATAGGGCAAGCTTTTGGTTGGTTTTAGGGTTAAAAACCAACAGGAACTGTTAGAATGCAAAATGGAGCTAAAGAGTTGGATAGAGAAGACTGCATGCTGGCCACTAGCTAACCGCTCAAACTGTTTGACGATGATCGTTAGACTGCTTGAGCAGCCCCTGATCCCAAAGGTCATGATTTGCTCCATTTTGCATTCTAGTGACCATGGCCTGATGACCAATCTTACAGCTTGAGCCGTCCCTTGTGAATCTAAGTTTTCTCGAGTCTCAATTAAACTATATTTATGAGAACTATATACTTGGACATGTCCTTTCTCATTATGGTAAGCCTTTAAAATTCAAAAATAGCTGCATCTATCATTTAGAGAGTTAAGAACAAACCTTAGCTATCCCTAACCATCCAAATGCCAAGGTCTACAAGATCAATCTTGTTCTACACTTCCAAACCTTGAAGTAAAGAGGGATCCAATAGAAACTCATCTAGAACCCATAGTGGTGTGAAGAAGATCTTGATTGAAGATCAAGAGGATTCACAACTAATCATGGAGCTCAATTCACAGTTATTGAAGGTAATACTCAAGACCTTGCGGTTGTGAACCCAAACGGAAAGATAAAAGGAAGAAAACATCTAACTAAAGAATTGTTGAGGTATAAGCCTTTGACCGTATAATTGACCTCGAGTATAATAAATTTAGTTAGTTGAACTAGAGTCTCCTAGTTTTTCTCAAANCTCTAACTAAAGAATTGTTGAGGTATAAGCCTTTGACCGTATAATTGACCGACCTCGAGTATAATAAATTTAGTTAGTTGAACTAGAGTCTCCTAGTTTTTCTCAAAACAATTTCCAGCATTAAATTGTCATGTATTGTGGTGTTTGTTGATTTCTTTAATTTACACACTCTTGTAATTCCTCACACATCATATGTTTAATATAATGCTTCATTAATTGAATTGATATATTATCATCTGGTGGTTTATTGAAATCAGTGTAAAGGCATTGGATGAAAAAAGATGGTGGATTTGCATTGTGGTTGATTGTTGAATTGAGCATTCTTACATTCATCCGTTCACTCAGGGGTTTGTGCATTGAAAAGGAGTTCATTGAACTAAAATCAGGTAATCCATTTGCAATTGAGGTAATTAGATCTCTACTTTGGTAAATATTCCGCATCGGGTGAAAAAGAGTTATTCACCCTTCCTCTAGTTGTTCTAAGCTTGACTTCACATGTATAATCGAATAGAGAACGAGGAAAAAACAGGAATACTTACTAAAAGCAAATATAAAACTTGGTAGAGAAGCAGAGAAACTTCAGGCCATGCGATGTATTAAACGGATTGGAAAGTAAATATCTGCAGCCACAGCACCAATAAACAAAGAAATATTAAACTTAAAAAAGAATAGATTGGTATTAAGCAACATACAGCCAATAAAAGAGTAGAAAGCATCGTGTAAAAGTTTAAGACTATATGAGATATGGTTAATTCATTCAAAGAACATGGTTAACCTGTTAACCATGAACAGTAATGAAACAAGCGGCACAGTGATATTCCATCTCACTGCATCGACAATTTGATATCATGAATTCATAATACAACGATGACACCATCCTGCAGGTTAGGAATGACAACAATCAGAAATGCCCCAATAATATATGCTGAAACTAAATTTACTTGACTTAATATCATTGCACCATTTTCATAAAAATATTTGGCCATACATCTCTAATTACGAATTTGTCCGATAAGCTTAGAGTTGGCAACAACCATTCTGACAAATAGATAGCACGATTTTGATGGTTCTTATCACCTGCAATGCAGTAAAAACAACATAATGCTATATTTAAGTGAGTCCGAAAGTAACCAGACATTTTCTCACAAGTAGGGAAGACAAACTTAAGCTACAGTTTTCGGCATCCAAACCTGAAGCCCACACAAGTATCTTGTGAGAAACAAAAGACTGCAGCAACCAGAGACCACAATTAAATGCAGCATCATAAAAATAGAAGACATCAGCACTGGCTGACCATCATAGCAATTTACAACTTCATATAAGAGGTTCTCATAATTACAAAATGAACAATCTCAAATGTTGCCCAATTCGTTGGTCGATTTGGAACACCATATGGTACAGGTACATAGTATGATGCTTTCTCGGTGCAATTGGAGAAAGCTTAGCTAGTTCGCTATTTTGGATCATTATCAAGGATCGAAATATCGTTTGAAACGTCCATAACGTTTTGAATTTTCAATACACCAACACGAAACAAGGGTTGAAACCAAAAATTATAGAGTTTCGAACGAAACCTCAATGTTTTAAAAGGGATATTGGTAGCCATTGAATGAGTCTATTTGAGACCGTCGGATTAACTTATTGAAACCTACCATATTTTATATTATAGATGTTGACCTAATAAACATGCTCAATCAATCAATTATTAAGCTTATCTTTTTAAATACAGGGATTTTATTTATGTTTCTATATTTTTTCTGTGTTTCCTAAATTGTACACCGATACGATATTTCAATTCTTGATCGCTATTAGAATTGAAACTCTTTTTTGGTACGGTTTCACTATTATATAGGATTACACAAAGGATATATGCATGCGCACGGATATTCAAAAAGTATTTGATTTTATAATTATGATTATAGTTTCGCAATGAACCGTAATTCAAGACAACATACCACCTAATGGTTGTCAATAATAGAAATTAATGGGCGCATATTTATGTCATGAAAAAAAATTAAAATGACAAAAAAAAATAAAAATATAATTTTAAATATCACCAAAATGAAAAAATAAAAGTGTTGGTCATGTTTAANGCATATTTATGTCATGAAAAAAATTTAAAATGACAAAAAAAATAAAAATATAATTTTAAATATCACCAAAATGAAAAAATAAAAGTGTTGGNACATATTTATGTCATGAAAAAAAATTAAAATGACAAAAAAAAATAAAAATATAATTTTAAATATCACCAAAATGAAAAAATAAAAGTGTTGGTCATGTTTAAAGTTTGGGATTAAGGCCACTAAAGGGTTACAATTTGGGTGTTCTAGGTCTCGAACTTTACCCTATTTAGAGTCAATCAACCCGGTATCATGGGACACATGAGGTTCCTACAATCCTAATATCCTGGAATAATCTTTCTGAAAACATATTTTCACATGCCAATCTTAAAATGTGAATCAGGTAAACGAATGTCTCTTACCTAACATCAATAAAACTCAATAAAGAATGGGCTAAATATCCTCCATGTTCAAAAACATTCTCCCTAAATTTCTGGTTTTGGGTTTCTACCAAAAGTCAGTCAGAAGGAAACCATAATCTAGCAAGTATTCATAAATCATTCAGCTACAAGTATTCAGCAGTACGATCAGTATTAAAGATATAGTCTTATTTTCTGGCTAAGAATTGTATTAGCCCTCCATCGTGACCACAAACCAGTAAATTTCTTCATGAGGTTAAAAATGAAATGTAAACTATAAATTTAAATCTAATAGCTGGAAAAAAACAGGTAATTTGACAAACCGGGGTAATCTAAACATTTTGTCAATCATATTGTGAAATTGTTACGAAATTCAATAGTAAAAGAAAATAAAGAAGTGTAACTCTCCAAGATATTATGTCATGAACCACAATCTGGTATTAAATTACCTGCCAGACAGAAGGCATATACTCACGATATGGAAGTTTCTGAGGACCGCTTCTTAAAGTTCTTGAATCAGAGGCAATATATGACGACCATTTTCTTGGATTCCTGTTACAAGCAGTACTTGAGCATTGAATCCACAAAGGAGACTAAATGAAAAGAAAATGCAATAAACGTCCTTTCATTATCAGATACAGTAATAAGAAGTTAATGAAACTGCAAGCTTCGAACAAAGTTATCAAGGATAGACCATTTTCTTTGCCGCTAACACTTCAAATTCCATAACTGATGCAAGAATGAAAATTTACAAACTTTATAAAAAGAAGACAAAGGAGATGAGATACTCATCGAGTACAATAGAGATGTATGGAAGTGGTACACACAAAAGAGAGAGTGAGAGACAGAGACAGAGAACCTAATATAATTACAGCAATTAATTTATTTCCCCCAACGACGGAAAGCATCTTTATTTGCAACATAGTAGATTGATGATGAGGACGAAGTATTACCTCAAGCAAGTAAGACATGTTGGAGTCTTAGCTATCACAAATTGCTCAAGAAAGAGCACCAACTCTATCAAAATATCCTAGTAGTACACATGAAAGCCTTAACTACTAGCCCAAGAAGAACCTAGGAGAAGAAATAACAAATCACGGAACAAAAGCAGGACCAAAGGGATCAATTGTCAAGTAAAACTTCATCCACCCATTTGACACCAGAACAGCAACAGATCACATAAAAAAATTGACCATGAAAAATGCAGTGGTAAAGTGCAAATAACTTTCTGTAAAACTGCTCCCTAATTCAACCCCAAAACCCCAATTAAAGAAACAGAAGAAAATAAAAGGGAGCGAGAGAGAAAGAAATAATACAAGATCGATACATACTTAAACATGGAATAACACAATGCAATGAAATCTCACTATTCAACAGAACAATAAAGCCCCGTTTCAATTACCATTTCAAGGTAGAAAGAAATGCACAAGTACCATCACAAGATAAGAGGGCAATCAATCCTTATCGTCCCATCTTTCGCACAAAATTTTAATTTTAAAGGTTTTCAAACAGAAGAATAAAAATAAGCATCAGCCCAGTAACACTGGGATCAAGCAAAAGGGTGAAACTCGGGGAAGTTAGGAAACAATCCAATCACCAGAGGGTATAATGGGTTGTACACATGTATAAAAGACTTAGTTTATTATATAAGCATATTTCACCTATAGAATAGTAACTAAAGAAATTAGAAATTTAGAATGAACTTGTTTGTTTGCGCTGTAGTCCGAGTATATGCTAATGAAAAGATCTGGTCAGGTTGAATTCCACAAAACCATCATCCCAACTATTTGTGTAACAAATGTATCAGAGAAAAATAATTATTAAAGCATGCCCCAGCGTCAACATATTTCTCCTTGTCCTGGGTGCACCTTCAATTGGATCTGATCATGTCTGTCCCTCATTCTGGTAAGTAGATAATTTTCTTTGCACATGGTCAAACCATTTAGGTACATTCCATATCACATTGTCCCCAGTTCATGGTATTTAAAGTCCTCACTTAATGTATTAATTTCTCATTATATTTCTTCTTCTCTTGCCACATTCATATAGAACTCAACTTCATGGAATGCCTTAAGGTAATCTAGACCAGAAATCAGTGGATATCTATTTTTTGATTTTTTCACTTAATTCTTAATGGCATAAAATATATTGACTTTGTGACGCATAGCCAAAAAAAAAAAAAAAAGAAGATTGATAAGAGTATGCACACTCCGAAAGAAGAGAGTGAGATTCAACAGAAAGTACCAAAATATCAATTAGAACCAAGTTTGGGGGGGAAAAAGATTGGTTCCAATGGAGTTCAATAATCAAGTCTTCCAACCTGTTACACAAGTCCTTCTACAGGCAACCCAAAATTAACAGATGCCAATCATAAAACAAATGTATAATATTTAAATACTCAAAATACAATCAACCTGATAAATCTTACACAATAAAATAGATTCCTAAAGCCCATCATTTCTCCCTACCGAGTAGAACTCTCCTCCAGACAGTTATAGCAGCAAAAGTGATCCAAGAGATTTGTAGTCAGGTGAAGTACATCTTAAATCTGGATGGCATCACGACAAGATTGCATTCCAAAGAAATACTAAAGGCGGCCATGGAAGAAAACAGTCTCTCGACTCTACAACAAAGCCTTCAGAATCTGATCTACTAGACGATCAAACTCACTACTGGCCATAATTGCAGGTTGAATTGGATAGAGGTAGAAATCAAGAAATACAGAAAAACTGAAATTGAAGATTTTGGTCAATCAACTTAAATGGCCCCATATACCTAATATTTGTGTTATTCACATATGGAACCTTAAAGTTCTATAAGTAATTGATTTCTATAATACAGTACTAGCGGGCACCCGTGCGATACACGAAATTTATAAGCTGTCTTCATATGGCTCGTTTCTTCTCACCCTTCCAGCTTTCCTCAGTTAATCAAACAATATGGGTAGTTCAAGAATTAGTGAAGTTTATAAGGATTGAAATTAATTTTTTTTTTAAAAATTGATGAGGGGTGATTAATTGGTAAGATAGTGAAATGCAGGTTATTTTGGTGAAGTGTTGGTTGTTGATTAGATAATACATAATTTTGTAATTAATAAAATAAAAATTTAGAAATTAAGAAAAGTGAAAGAGAAGACTTCTCAAACTCTCTCCCAAAAAATGATTGTTTTATATATATATAGATGGATTTATGGCATGATTATTCAAATATTTGGAGTTATTAAAACTCTGAATAATATGGAAGTGGGCCACAGTGTCACAGTTACACCCCACTGCTCTCTCTCTTTCTCTCTCTCTCTNCACTGGGATCAAGCAAAAGGGTGAAACTCGGGGAAGTTAGGAAACAATCCAATCACCAGAGGGTATAATGGGTTGTACACATGTATAAAAGACTTAGTTTATTATATAAGCATATTTCACCTATAGAATAGTAACTAAAGAAATTAGAAATTTAGAATGAACTTGTTTGTTTGCGCTGTAGTCCGAGTATATGCTAATGAAAAGATCTGGTCAGGTTGAATTCCACAAAACCATCATCCCAACTATTTGTGTAACAAATGTATCAGAGAAAAATAATTATTAAAGCATGCCCCAGCGTCAACATATTTCTCCTTGTCCTGGGTGCACCTTCAATTGGATCTGATCATGTCTGTCCCTCATTCTGGTAAGTAGATAATTTTCTTTGCACATGGTCAAACCATTTAGGTACATTCCATATCACATTGTCCCCAGTTCATGGTATTTACAAGTCCTCACTTAATGTATTAATTTCTCATTATATTTCTTCTTCTCTTGCCACATTCATATAGAACTCAACTTCATGGAATGCCTTAAGGTAATCTAGACCAGAAATCAGTGGATATCTATTTTTTGATTTTTTCACTTAATTCTTAATGGCATAAAATATATTGACTTTGTGACGCATAGCCAAAAAAAAAAAAAAAAGATTGATAAGAGTATGCACACTCCGAAAGAAGAGAGTGAGATTCAACAGAAAGTACCAAAATATCAATTAGAACCAAGTTTGGGGGGGAAAAAGATTGGTTCCAATGGAGTTCAATAATCAAGTCTTCCAACCTGTTACACAAGTCCTTCTACAGGCAACCCAAAATTAACAGATGCCAATCATAAAACAAATGTATAATATTTAAATACTCAAAATACAATCAACCTGATAAATCTTACACAATAAAATAGATTCCTAAAGCCCATCATTTCTCCCTACCGAGTAGAACTCTCCTCCAGACAGTTATAGCAGCAAAAGTGATCCAAGAGATTTGTAGTCAGGTGAAGTACATCTTAAATCTGGATGGCATCACGACAAGATTGCATTCCAAAGAAATACTAAAGGCGGCCATGGAAGAAAACAGTCTCTCGACTCTACAAGAAAGCCTTCAGAATCTGATCTACTAGACGATCAAACTCACTACTGGCCATAATTGCAGGTTGAATTGGATAGAGGTAGAAATCAAGAAATACAGAAAAACTGAAATTGAAGATTTTGGTCAATCAACTTAAATGGCCCCATATACCTAATATTTGTGTTATTCACATATGGAACCTTAAAGTTCTATAAGTAATTGATTTCTATAATACAGTACTAGCGGGCACCCGTGCGATACACGAAATTTATAAGCTGTCTTCATATGGCTCGTTTCTTCTCACCCTTCCAGCCTTCCTCAGTTAATCAAACAATATGGGTAGTTCAAGAATTAGTGAAGTTTATAAGGATTGAAATTAATTTTTTTTTTAAAAATTGATGAGGGGTGATTAATTGGTAAGATAGTGAAATGCAGGTTATTTTGGTGAAGTGTTGGTTGTTGATTAGATAATACATAATTTTGTAATTAATAAAATAAAAATTTAGAAATTAAGAAAAGTGAAAGAGAAGACTTCTCAAACTCTCTCCCAAAAAATGATTGTTTTATATATATATAGATGGATTTATGGCATGATTATTCAAATATTTGGAGTTATTAAAACTCTGAATAATATGGAAGTGGGCCACAGTGTCACAGTTACACCCCACTGCTCTCTCTCTTTCTCTCTCTCTCACACACACACACACAATTGTCGTGCACCATCACCCTCATCTATTGTTTTTTAAAATCCACCAGGTAACAAAGCATGTATCCAATATTGAATAATGAGAACCATCAAAGTTGGTTTATATACTTGAAGGGTCACCCCACCCTTTGACAATTGGTTTTGGCCTGGATGCTATGACATGGTATCAGACCTGGTCATGAGTGGAAATGGACCAAGTCTATTGTCCATATGAATTTTCTGGTATGCATACTTGTTTGTTTGTTTGTCTGTTTGTTGATCCCACGTGCAAGTCTGGGTCCCATGTGAGGGATAGTGTTAAAANTCTTTGCACATGGTCAAACCATTTAGGTACATTCCATATCACATTGTCCCCAGTTCATGGTATTTAAAGTCCTCACTTAATGTATTAATTTCTCATTATATTTCTTCTTCTCTTGCCACATTCATATAGAACTCAACTTCATGGAATGCCTTAAGGTAATCTAGACCAGAAATCAGTGGATATCTATTTTTTGATTTTTTCACTTAATTCTTAATGGCATAAAATATATTGACTTTGTGACGCATAGCCAAAAAAAAAAAAAAAAAATTGATAAGAGTATGCACACTCCGAAAGAAGAGAGTGAGATTCAACAGAAAGTACCAAAATATCAATTAGAACCAAGTTTGGGGGGGAAAA